AGTAACTGGTTTCTCCTGACAATATGTCCGAAGTATAAAGATGAAGTTTGGTCATCCTGGCTTCCAAGAAGCACTCTGGCTGTAGTTCTTCCAACACAGACCTATTCTTTGGCAGTCCGTGGTACTTTCAATATTCTCCTCTAACACCATAACTCAAAAGAATCAATTCTTCTACAGTCTTCCTTATTCACTATACAACTTTCGCATGCATTTGAGGTTACTGAAAATACCATGATTTAAGTCAGGCATACCTTAAGTCCTTAAACTGACATCTTTGCCCTTCAATGCTTTAAAGAAATCATGTGCAGCAAATTTACCGAATGCAATGTATTGCTTGATTTCTTGACTGTTGCTTCCATCAGTGTTGATGGTTAAGTCGAGCAAAATGAAGTCTTTGATAACTTCAATCTTTTCGCCATTTATATGGATGTTGTTTATTGGTTCAGTGGTGAGGATACCTGTTTTCTTTACATTGAGGCGCAACCCATACCGAAGGTTGCAGTCTTTGATCTTCATCAGTAAGTATTTTAAGTCATATTTGCTTTCAGCAAACAAGGTTGTATCATCTGCATATCACAGGTTGTTAATGAGTCTTCCTCCAGACTTGATGCCATGTTTTTCTTCATATAATCCAGCTTCTCAGATTTATTCAGCATACAGATTGAATAACTATGATGAAAGAATAAAACCCTGGCATACACTTTTCCTGATTTTAAGTGTTTCAGTGTTATTTTCTTCTATTTGAACAACCTGTCTCTTTGTCTATATACTGGTTCCTCATGAGTACAATTGAGTGCTCCGGAATACTCATACTCCTCAATGTTGTCCATAGCTTGTCATGATCCACACAACTGAAAGCCTTTGTGTAGTCAATAAAGCACAGGTAAACATCTTTCTGGTATTCTCTGCTTGAAGTCAAGATCTATCTGACATCAGTAATGATATCCCTCGTTCACCTTCTGAATCTGGCGTGAACCTATGGAGATGTTCTCTGACATTGTATGATTGCGGCCGTTTTTGCATTATCTTTCATAAAATTTTACTCACATGGGGTATCAATGATATTGTACAATTATTACTGCATTCCATTGGGTCACCTCTCTTTGGATAGGAACAAATATAGCTCTCTTCCAGTCAGTTGTCTTCCAAATTTCTTGGCATAGATGAGTGAGTGCCTTGAGTGCCACATTACTTTGTTGAAATATTTCAATTTGTATTCCATCAATTCCCAGTGCCTTGATCTTTGCCAATGACTTCGATGCACCTTAGACTTCTTCCTTCAGAATCATTGGCTCGAGATCATATGCTACCTCTTGAAATGTTTGAACATTGACCATTTCTTTTTGGAACATTGACTCTGTGTATTCCTTCCATCTTCTTTTTATGTTTTTTGAATCATTCAGTATTTTGCCCATAGAATACTTCCAAGTCAAGGGTTTAATTTTTTCTTCAGCTCCCTCAGCTTGAGAAATTCTCTCAGGTTTGAAAGCACTCAAAATATGACTAGAGAAGAGCTGCCTCCTCAAAGTAGAGTTGACTGTGATGATGTGAATGGAGTAAAGCCCTCGGGACCTTTATGTGATGATAGGGCACAACTCAAAATGAAGAGAAACAGCTGTACAAATCCATTAATAATTGGAACATGGAATGCATGAAGGATAAATCTAAGAAAACTGAAAATTGTCAAAAATGAAATAGAACATATAAACATCAATATTCTGGGCATTAGTGACCTGAAATGGACTGGTATTGGACACTTTGAATCTGACAATCACAAAGTTTACTATGCCTTGAATGACAAATTGAAGAGTTATGGTGTCGCATTCATCATCAAAAAGAACATATAAAGAGCTGTCATAAGGTACAATGCTGATACATATGGATGATAGAATAATATCCATATGCCTACAAGGAAGACCAGTTAATAGCACTATTATCCAAATTTTCGCACCAACCACTAGAGCCAGTGATGATGAAATGTAAAAATTCTACCAACTTCTTCAGTCTGAAATTGATCAAACATGCAATCAAGATGTACTGATAATTACTGGCAACTGGAATGCAATGGTTGAAAACAAAGAGGTAGGATCAGTAGTTGGAAAATATGGCCTTCATAATAGAAAGATGCTGGAGATCACATGATAGAATTTTGCAAGACCAATGAATTCTTCATTGCAAATACCTTTTTCAATAACATAAAAGACAACTATATACATGGACTTCACCAGATGGAATACACAGAAATCAAATAGACTACATCTGTGGAAACAGATGGTGGAAAAGCTCCATATCATCAGCCAAAACAAGGCCAGGAACAAGACTGTGGAACAGACCATCAGTTGCTCATATGCAAATTCAGGCTGATTGAAGAAAATGAAAACAAGTTCATGAGAGCCAAAATATGACTTTGAATATATCCCACCTGAATTCAGAAATCATCTGATGAACAGATTTGATGTATTAGACACCGAAGACCAAAGACCAGAAGAGTTGTGCGATCACATCAAGAACATATTACAGGAAGAAAGCAAAAGGTCATTGAGTAACAAGAAAGAAAGAATAAAAAGCCCAAAATGGTTGTCAGAAAAGACTCTGAAACTTAATCTCCAGTGTTGAGATGCTAAAGCAAATGGAAGAAATTAGGAGGTACAAGAGCTGAACAAAAACTTTCAAAGGTCAGATCAAGAAGATAAAGTCAAACATTATAATGAAATGTGCAAGAACCTGGAGTTAGAGGAGAGTAACATGCTCAGCAGTCTTCCTTGTAGGCACATGGATATTATCCTATCACGGTGTTATATTTCAAGATAGATCTTTAAATGATCTTTTCGATGATAAATGCTATTCCATTCCTCTTGAACTTGTCATTGCTAGCATAGCAAACTATATGACATTCAGATTCAAAATGGCCAATACCAGTCCATTTCAGCTCACTAATGCATAGGCTATATCTTTAAGTGTTCCATTTCATTTTTGACAACTTCTAGTTTTCCTAGGTTCACACTTCATACGCTCCATGTTCTGACTATTAATGGATGTTTGCAGATCTTTCTCCTCATTTTGAGTTGTGCCCATCAGCAAATGAGTTACTACAAGCTTTACTCCATTCACATCATCACGGTGAACTATATACTTTGAGGAGGCATCTTTTCCCAGTCATATTTTGAGTGCCTCCCAATCTGAGGGGCTCATCTTTCAGCATTATATCTGACAATATTTTAATGGTATTCATGTTTTCATCTTAAGGGACTATATCAACTATGTTCTGCTGCTATCCATAACATTTTCAGTGGGTAAACATTCAAAATAGTCTATATCTTCTTACTAGTCTTTGTCTGGAAGCTCAGCTGAAACCTGTCCACCATGGGTGACCCTGCTCGTGTTTAAAACACCAGTGGCATAGCTTTCAGATCACAAGCAACATACATGCCAACACAGTACAACAAACTGAGAGACAAGTGGTGGGTTATTAATATGTTGTTGTTGTTATGTGCCGTGGAGTGGGTTACAACTCATAGCGACCCTGTACAGGATTTTTGAGGCTGTAAATCTTTACAGGAGCAGAAAGCCTCAACCTTCTCCTGCAGAACAGCTGGTGATTTCGAACTGCTGACCTTAAGGTTCACAGCCCAATTCGTAACCACTATGCTACCAGAGCTATGTTAAATGCTGAAACATACTGAATCCTGTTCAGTGTTCTCACTCTACTACAGTTTATATGCTTTCGCTTACTTACTCCTATACAAATAAAATGTCTACTTTACAAATAAAAAGTGGGTGAAAATATGTAGCCAAGGTTCATAGCCAGGAACCAGAAAACTAGAATTTAAACAGAGTTAATATAACTCTGTTGCAGTGCTGTGGGTTAATGTGTTGGGCTGCAAAGTTGGTCTGAACCGTTGTAAGGTGGGAGGTTCAAGCTCCTTGGAAACCCTATACAGAGTCATTGCGGGTTGGAACCAACTCGATGGGCACTTACAACAATAACAATTTAACTCTGGACTTCTGGTGTGGCACTGTTAGATAAGCACTTGACCTCAAGGTTGATTTAAATTGAAAGGTCAGTGGTTAAAATTCACCAGCTGCTCCTAGGAAACCCTATAAAGGATTGCTGGGTCAGACTTATATAACAACAACAGTATAACTCTGGAGGCCACACTTTAAACTAGACTAGAGGCTACTTAAACTCAGTCCATTTAAGGAGATAAATCTTATCCATATCCTGAAAGAGATTCCTGTTCACCTGCTGTGAGCTCAAATGCTCATCCATATCCACCAGCATCTACAACCCCCACGGTGTGGTAATTAGGAAGGCATAACCCACAGTTTAGGAAATTACAGCAGAATCACAACAGAAAAAGGATCGAATGGTTTAAACTTAAAAAAGGTGTGCGACAAGGTTGTGTTCTTTCACCATACTTATTCAACCTGTATGCTGAGCAAATAATCCGAGAAGCTGGGTTATATGAAGAAAAACATGGCATCAGGATTGGAGGAAGACTCATTAACAACCTGTGATATGCAGATGATACAACCTTGCTTGCTGAAAGTGAAGAGGACTTAAAGTATTTACTGATGAAGATCAAAGAGCACAGCCTTTGGTATGGATTACATCTCAATGTAAAGAAAACAAAAATCCTCACCAGTGGACCAATAAACAACATTCTTATCAACAGAGAAAAGATTGATCTTCTTTCTATAAAACCACTCACAGACTGCCCTCCCACATGAGGTTTTCCCTGCCCCTCTCCTCTTCCATTGTTCTGTGTATTCTCTAGCTGCTGGTGGATCTTGCTTCAACAGAAGTGCTTTACCTACAATCATAGGCTCTAATGCCATAGTAGACGTTAAACTTCCAAACTTCACTCTGAATGCTTTGCATGTAGACTTGGTCCTGAAAAGGGCCCTGAGTATTCTCAGAGATTATTCTATTCTTTTCTGTTCAAACTGTTCCTGCATCTATTAACCACTGAACAAGCTATGGAAATGCTATAACATACCAATGCTTCTGCTCCGTTGTATGGTGTCAAAGTGAAAGCATTTGCGAAAAAGCGAAACTGAAAAAGCAAAAATAATGGTCATTCAACATGCACTTATAAGAATCTTTAATGGTTTCTAACACAGTCACAAAAGCATTCATTATGTAAATACTAGAAAAGAAAACCTGAATTTCTGATCAGAAAACATTTTTTTTAAGTGTCAAAATATAAAGAAGTCTAAAAATGGAACTAGCTTTTAATCCCCACTACCCTCAAGTCCTTCTGATCTTTTCTCTGTGCTTGCTATGATGGAGGGGCTGTACAAAAGACAGTAAAGAAGCCATCTCTTCTTGAGTCCGACAAGTGAGGGAAATTTTATCTTAAAAGTAGCATTTTCTAATGTGTGCTGGAAAAAAACCAAACAAACAAAAGCAAGATTCTACAGTCATATAATGCATGAATTATCCCTTCTTGGGACCATCTAATGTGCATTACCACACTGAAAGCCCAAAGGAGTTCAACTTAACATTACTTAGCACAGACTTACCAACATCATAGGATCACTGAATCCTTGGGGGTCTATAGCACATGATCAAACACGATCAAACAAACGTTCTCTTAAGGATACAGATATGCCTCACTTAACATCCAAAACAGGTTCTGTACAATAGGGCATTATGTGACTTGGACATTGTACAATCACCATGTTAAAACCTATGGGAGTCCACTTCTAGTTGGCCTCTTCACCACTTCTGTTACCACTGGCAGAGGTCAGAGGAATGGACGGCGGCAGTAGCAGAGGCAGGAGTGGAGCCATAGGAAGCCAGCAGGGAGGGCGCAGAGGATGATCAGTCCTGCTTGTTAGCTCTCCAGACAAAGTCCTAGAGCCCACACCCAGAGCCATGTCCTATGCCTTACCTGCCTGTATTTCCCCTGTAGACCAGTGCTGCTGCTTTATTTGTGAGGTCTTTAAACCATAAGGGGAAGAAGGGGGAAATAAACAAAAGGAGAGTTGCTTCCCTTGAGAAAATAAATAAATAACCTGAAGTGACTACTAACATGTATGCAGTTGGAAGCTGCCCAAACAGACAAGCCTGTATTTGGACGGTGGCACAGTGGCGAATATAAGGTAATAGGAAGCATAGGCTCCATATAAACTACAATTTCAAATTCTCAACTTAGATGGAATTCAGCCAATCATTTTCTAACCTTTTGTCTTGGGAGTGTGGTGGCTCCATATGATAAGCACTAGATTATGAACCACAAGGTCTGCAGTTCAAGCAGGAAAAAGATGAGGCTTTCTGCCCCAGCAAAGATTTAAAACCCTGGAAACCCTATAAGGGTCACTATGACTCAGAATTGAATGATGGCACTTAACAACAATAACAACAACAACAACACTTTGTCTCAGTTACCTAGCACTGCTATAAGAGAAATGCCGTAAGTGGGTGGCTTTAACAAGCACAAATTTATTTCCTTACAATTTAGGAGGCTCGAAGTCTGAATTCAGGGCACTGGCTCTAGCAGCAGGCTTTCCCTCTCTTGGCCTTTGTTCATTGGCTCCTTGGCTATCTTCTCCTGGCATAGCAGCTCTCGTCACCTATTCATGCTCCTTTTGCTTGCTTGTCTAATCTCTTTTATAGCTCAAAAGAGACTGACTTAACACACCCCCCTACAACAATCCCATCTCACTAACATAACAGACAACCTGTTCCCAAAGGGGATAACTGTAAGCATTGTTGTTTACTGCATGCTCTGGAGCTGGTTCCGACTCATAACAACCCTGTAAAAGGTTTCCAAGTTGAAGTTGGTGGATTTGAACCACCCACCTTGTGGTTAGCAGTCCACTGTTTATCCAACAGCACCATACAAGGACTCCAAACCATAAGCGTAGAGGCTAGGATTCACAACACATATTTGGGGAGAGGGGAAGATACAATTCAATCCATAGCACACGAAGTGCATCTTTGAGAGAAATGTTCATCACTTACCAGCCATATGAATGGTAGCATCAGTGTCCATATAAGGGAAGGTACAATTCCGTACGTCAAATTAGTCAACGCTGTACCCGGGCATACCACACTAGAATACAGACCCTGGAAGAACAGAAAATAGCAACAATAGATTCTAATTTAGTGCATATTGACTGAGTCCTAGCTACATGCTCATTGATAAAGCAGCTATAGCTATACCTTGAAGATACTGCAGGCCTGGTTCTAAACCATGGCAATAAAGTGAAGTCACACAGCTTTATTTTGTTTCCCAGTGCATATAAAATTTATATTTACAATATGCTCACTGGACTACAAGGTCGGTTTGAAGGTCAGTGGTTCAAGCTCACCAGTCGCTCCTGAGAAATCTTATACAGTGTTGCTATGAGTCAGAACTGACTCCACAGCACTAACAACAACAACATAGTCTATTAAGGACTACTGGTATGGCATTGTAGGATAAGCACTAGACTGCTAACCACAGGGTCAATGGTTCAAACCAACTAGCCACTCCTTGGAAACCATATAAAGGGTTGCTATGAGTCAGAACTGAAAGTTCTCTGTTAATGTATGGCTGCAGCCATTTGTGAATGATCTTTAGCAAAATTTTATTTGTATGCAATATTAATGATATTGTCCAATAATTTCTGCATTCTGTTGAGTCACCTCTATTTGGAATAGGAACAAATATGGATCTCTTCCAATCATTTGGCCAGGTGTTGTCTTTCAAAATTTCCTGGCATAGATGAGTGAGTGCCTCCAGTGTTTCATCAGTTTGTTAAAAGATTTCAATTTGTAGTCCATCAATTCCTGGCACCTTGTACTTTGCCAATGCCTTCAATGCACCTTAGACTTCTTCCTTCAGGATCATTGGCTCTTGATCATATACATTCTCTTGAAATGGTTGAACACTGACCATTTCTTTTTGGTATGGTGACTCTGTATACTCCTGATGCTTTCTGCATCATTCAATATTTTGCCCATTGTTGTTGTTGCTAAGTGCCATCGAGTCAATTCTGACCCATAGAGACCCTGTATAGGGTTTTCAAGGAGCAGCTGCTAAGTTTGAACTGCTGACCTTGCAGTTAAAACGGCTTTGCAGTCTGGCACATTAACCCACAGTGCCACACCGAGATATATAGAATCCTTCAATATTCCAAGTCGAGGCTTGAATTATTTCTTCAGTTCCCTAAGCTTGAAAAATGCTAAGTGTTTTCCTCCCTTTTGGTTTTCTAACTCCAAGTCTTTGTACATTTCTTTATAATATTTGACTTTGTCTTCTCGATGGTGACCTTTGAAATTTTCTACTCAGCTCTTTTTCCTCCTCATTTGTCCCATTTGCTTTAGCATCTTTATGATGGAGAGCAAGTTTCAGAGTCTCTTGACATCCATTTTGGTCTTTTCCTTCTTTCTTGTCTTCTTAATGCCCTTTTGCTCTCTTCCTGTATGATGTTCTTGATGTCAGCCCACAACTCTTCTGGTGTTCAGTCTTTAGGGTCTAATGCATCAAATCCATTCTTCGGATGATCTCTAAATTCAGGTGGGATATGCTCAAGGTCATATTTTGGCTCTCACAGATTTGTTTTAATTTTATTCGGCTTCAGCCTGAACTTGCATATGAGCAACTGATGGGTCTGTCTGTTTCTGGCCTTGTTTTGGCTGATGATCTAGAGCTTTCCTATTGTATCTCTCCACAGTTACAGTCAATTTGATTTTTGTGTATTCCATCTGGTGAAATCCATGTGTATAATCGATTATCTTTTATGTTGTTTAAAAAAGTTATCTGCAATGAAGAATTCATTGGTCTTGCAAAATTCCATCATGCAATCTCCAGCATCATTTCTATTATGAAGGCTATATTTTCCAACTACTAATCCTTCCTCTTTGTTTCCAACCTTTACACTCCAATTATCAGTACATCTTGATTGCATGTTAGATCAAAGACTAAAGCAACTGGTAGAATTTTTCATTTTCATCATCATTGGCTCAAGTGGTTGGTGTGTACATTTGCGTAATAGTGGTATTAACTGCTCTTCTTTATAGGAGTAGGGATATTGTCGTATCACACACAGTGTTATACTTCAAAATAGATCCTGATATGTTCTTTTTGATAATGAATATGACTCCATTCCTCTTCTGTCATTCCCAGCATAGTATACCATGTGATTGTCAGATTCAATATGGCCAATACCAGTCCATTTCAGCTCACTAATACCTAGGATATCAATATTTATGTGTTTCATTACATTTTTGATAATTTCCAATTTTCCTAGATTCAAACTTCATACATTCTACGTTCCAATTATTAACAGATATTTACAGCTATTTCTCTTCATTTTGAGTTGTAATCCATCAGCAAATTAAGGTCCCGAAGGCTTTACTCCATTCACATCATCATGATGAACTCTACTTTGAGGAGGCAACTCTTCCACAGTCGTATTTTGAGAGCCTTCCAACTTGAGGGACTCACCTTCCAGCACTATATCTGACAATTCTGGTTCTCTTTCATCATGTTTCAGTATTCTGGTGGTGACAGTGTTCCACTGCTACTCATAACATTTTCAGTGATTAAAAGTCTTGAGCTGTCTTTCTCCTTCTTCCTAGCCTGTCCTCAGACGTCTGGAAGCTCAGCTGAAACCTGTCCACCATGGGTGAACCTGCTGTTACTTAAAATACTGTGGCACAGCTTCCAGAAACTGACACACAAGCAGTGGAGTCCTTAGCCTAGGGCTTACCATTTTAGAAGGTTCTATCTAATGAGAAAGTCTCAATTAACTCAAAGCTTATGTTCATAGAAAGGGTTAGTAATCCTGATCCACAAGCCATTTGTTTTACTGTTTTATTTAGTTAAACTGTCACTACATTTTACCTTATTTTTATGTGAACCACTTAAACTCATATTTAACTTTTTAAGGACCCCTGATAGTATACACTGGTTACACATTGGGCTACTAACTGCAATGTCAGCAGTTCACATTTACCAGTCACTCTATAGGAGAAAGGTGAGGCTTTCTGCTCCTGTAAAGACTTACAGCCTCAGAAACCCTATTCAGGGTAGAGGAGTTGGAACTGCCTCAAAGGTACACCACCACCACCAATCTTACTTTTTATTTTAAATAGAAAATAGGAAGTAAAAGTGTAACAGATTCAAAAGACAGACAGTGGCTTACAACAGAAGCTAGATTTTCTCCTTTCCTTTAGTGCTACAGACGCATGGCGGTACCTGACACAAATCAGCCAATCCCCTTGCTTTACCAAAACTCTTCTGAAAAGTCATTAGTCCAGACTGCTTGTCATTATAGACTAAATTCTACTCCCTAGACACTACTATATTTTCCCCCAAAGATAACTGAGGAAAATATCTTATGCTGGGAAGTATTCTGTCCTAACAGAGAAAATCTGTCAAGTAAATTCCTGGGTTTCCAACATAAGAGGACAAGGCAAAATATATTGCTACTAGGGAGCCAATTCATACATACAGGGGTTTATTCCAAACAAAGGTTTATTCAGTGGATGTCAGCAAACAAGTTCTCTCAGTAATACATCTGTCTCAGTCTCACTGCTGTTGTTATTGTTGTTGTAAAATGCCATTGAGTCAGTTCTGACTCACAACAACCCTGTATAGGGTTTCCGAGGAGTGGCTGGTGAGGTTTGAACTTCCCACCTTGCAGTTCAAACCGACCTTGCAGTCCATACCAGGACTTACATTATACTGCAGTGCCATACCAGGACTCCCTTAGTCTCATTTGCTGTTTGTTGCTGTGTTGTGAAGTGCCATCGAGTTGGTTCCAACCCATAGTGACCTTATATAGTAGGGTTTCCGAGGACCAGCTGGTGAGCTTGAACCCCCAACCTTACAGTTCAAAAGGCTTTGCAGTCTGGTGCATTAATTAACCCACAGTGCCACACCAGGACTCCTTAGGTGCCTTCAAAAAAATGAATACTTTTTCTGCCATGTAATAAATGATTCTGAGATCAGAGTTAATATCATCTACCCATATTGTTGAATCTTTGCAACAAGTTTATGACACTGCTGCCCTACATAAAATAATAGGTTTTTGATGGATCAAGCATTTTAAGGAAAGTTGGGAAAACTTCAAAGATGAGCCAAGAGAGGGAAAACTATCAAACTCCATGAATGAAGAAACTGTGGCTGAAGTCCAGAAACTAACAAACCAAACCAAAGAAATACCATTTAAGTGACAGCTAGTGAAGCTGAGATCTTACATGGTTCAGTAATTTCAATTTTAAGTGAACATTTTGGCCTCAGCATGCTTTCTACTGGATGGCTGCCAAAAGTGTTGCACAAAGATCAGCTAGCTCAAAGAGTTCATCTTTCCATCAGTCTTTTAAGCAAGATTCAAGCTAATGAAGATGACTTTATTGGATGAATCCTAAGTGGGGAAGAGTCTGAGGTTTATCAATAGGATCTAGAGAGCAGGGGGATCTAAAGGGCCGGTTACATTCAAGCTCAGAAGGTTGTGGTGATGTGTGTTTTTGACATTCCAAAGTGGTCACCTTGATAGATTTTTTCAAAGGACCCAGGATGATCAAAGGGATTTATTATGAAGATGTTTTTAGAAAATTAAAAACTGTATTGGTGAGAAAAGGGCTATGAAAAAATGCGTCGAGGAATTTTTTTTTTCCAGCACAACAATGTGACAATATACTCACTAACTCTTCATGGGTATCATGATTCCAAGAGCCAGACTGCAGAAGTGAGAGTGGCAGCTAATACAGGTCTCCTGCGGCAGTCTGGTTCCCCAAAGACTTACAGCCTCAGAAACTCTATAGTTTTAGTTAGTAAGTGGCCATACAACTTACCGTGTGACCTGGAGCAAATTACTGAACTTCTCTAAATTTCAGTGTCCTCATCTGAAAATGAGAACGCGTGGATCTACCACAGTGTGACAGGGGAGTGAGTTAACAGAACACAGCACTTGAAACATAGCAAGTATTTAAATAGTAGCTATTGTTTTTGTTAGGGATCTCTGGTAGCTTAGTGGTTTCGAATTGGGCTGCGAACCGCAAGGTCAGCAATTTGAAAATACCATCTGTTCCACAGGAGAAAGATGAGGCTTTCTGTTCCCTAAAAGACTTACAGCCTTGGAAACCCTGTACAGTGTCATTATGAGTTGGAACCGACTCCATGGCACATAACAACAACAACAGCATTGTTATTGTTAAGGAGCTCTGGTAGTGTAGTGGTTACGAATCGGGCTGCAAACCTCAAGGACAGTAGTTTGAAACTACCCGCTGTTCCGTGGGAGAAAGATGAGCTTTCTGCTCTCGTAAAGATTGACAGCCTCGGAAACCCTGTGCTGGGTCACTATGAGTTGGACCCGACTCCACGGCATATACTCACCACCACAGTAACTGTCATTGTTACTGTCCTAGAGGGTTGCCATGAGTCAGAATCATCTCAATGGTATTGAGTTTGGTTTTCAAACTTAAGCATTAGATTTCTAGGTCTAGTTTAGGATCAAGGAAGCTCCTCTGAGGTAAAGAAAGTCTTTTAGTCATTCTTTATTTTTATCTTCTAGATCCTAATCCTGGCCCTAAGACTGGTTGTTGTTGTTAAGTGTCGTCGAGTTGATTCCAACCCATAGCGACCCTGTATAGGGTTTCCGAAGAGCAACTGATGAGCTTGAACCGCCGACCTTGAAGTTCAAACAGCTTTGCAGGCTGGCACATTAACCCACGTTGCCACAAAACCTAATAGATGCTCTGAAAATATTAGTGAAATTATACTCCAGTACACTCACACCATATAATTAATCACAATTAACAAAAGAAAGCAGCTGGGACAAAGTCTAGAGATTTTCAGTTAAGATTTGAGACCTGGGTTCAGAGACATAAAAAGAGGCATTAATTCCAGACTAGAGTGGCCACACCACTGACAAGGGTCACCTTCTCCAAAAAACCACATTTAAACCCATAATCTCATGGAGGCAGAGCTCTGGTGTCCAGCCAAAACCCATTATGATCTGGAGGCTCTAGAACTACTGACTGTCCTGTAGCATATGATATGGTAAGCACTGAGGCAGTGTGGTTCAGTGGGAAAGGTTCAGGCTATACAATCAGACAGACATGGGCTCCACTCTGGGCTCTACCACTTACTGTGTGACCTTTAGCAAATTACTGGACTGCTCTGAACTTTAGTATCCCCCTCTGAAAATGGGGATGCTTGGATCTACTGCACTGTGACAGGGGAGGCAGCTAACGGCTTACAGCCTTTGAAGCATGTTGTTAAGTACTGTCAAGTCGATTTCAATTCATAGCAACCCAGTATAGGGTCTCCAAGGGGTGGTTAGTGAGTCTGAACTTTGTGGCCCAGTGTTTTATCTTATAGCACCACACAGGACTCCATTTGAAACAGAGCAAGTAATAAAATAATTAAATACCTATTGTTAATGCTATTAGTGTCAATCTGATAATAACTTATAAGTCCTAAAGAGTTACAGAATGGTAATGGTGAATAAACCTCCTAAGAGGTCAGGAGCTAATTATCTATGCCCTAAAATTTTCACATACATCAATCTCATTTATGTCATATCCTCATAGCAATCCTGTTCAAGAATAAATATAGTACACTGGCACCTTAGGATAAGCACTCAACCTCAAGGTCAGTTTGAACTGCAAGGTCAGCAGTTCAAACTCACAAGCCGCTCCTTAAAAACCCTATACAGGGTGGCTATGAGTTGGAACCGATTCAAAGGCACTTAACAACAACAAAAAAAGTCCCACAGCTAATAAGGAGGCCTGCCATGTACTAGGAAATCATCTGTAGCTAAGAAGCCACTGCCCTGACATTTCCAGATCACTGAGACAGGCCTTACCTGACGGTTAAAGTTCTTGTTCAAAGCCACACTCAAGAGGTCAGTGGCATATTTGGAAGAGCTGTATGGTTCCTGGCCTTTACTGTGCTGAATGTCCTCAAGGTTGAAGTTAGATCTGTTTGCATTTCGAGATGATGTCCAGATGAGCTGAGATGGATGGTCACTGTGACAGATGAGTGGTTCCAGCTCCCGAAACTGTGTGGGAAGATAAAACGAAAACTGTATCAAAACCTCGTGGGAGAGTGCAGAGTAACAATTTTGAAAAAACTATACATGTATATTAGAATTGAACCATTAAATAAATGGGTGAAGAATGGTGTGAACCAAGTTTCTCAATGTTGGAACAGGAAGTTATAGTTTGAAGAAATGCTTTTATATAACCTTTCTTGCCATAGTTTTGTAACTATGCAAATAAGGCACTTATGGCCCACCAAGGGGATTGGACAACTTGTTAATAATGCAAATAAGGTGCTTGGCATCCTTGTGGGGATGGAACCATACAAAAAAGGTAGATAGAACCCCATAAAAGAGCTTGGTGTGGAGTGTGTGTCCTTTGGATCTGGAATCCCTGCACTGAGAACCTCCTAGACCCTGGAGGCAGAGAAACAATTGTAACACTGGAGATAGTAGGATGCAGTGGCTGAGAAATGGCACCAACAGAAGCAGGAGATGGTGTAGTGGAGCTCCAGCCTATGAAGTGAGAAAGCCTAGCGTCTCTGGGTAGGAGGCTTGCTGGCAGAATGCAGTGCTTCCAGGCACTTGTCAATGGAGTTAAGTTCGCCAACCCACAGAGCTACAGAGCTGAGTGTATTCAATCTGAGGTTTACTGGTAGGGTGGGATCATTCCAGGTAGTTATTGGCAAAGTTGACGCATTTTGTAACACTTGCCCAAACAGAACAGAAGCCAGGCCAAGGGACCAAGAGCCAGAGAGAGGCCTGCCTTCAGGCTCAACTGAAAAGCTGTTCAGAATGTAGTACTGTAACCTGAGTCTTTCCTGGTCTTGAATTCTAACCTGTTATTTCCCTAAAGAATTCCAAATGGTAATCATGGTCTATGAGTTCTGTATGGCCATTGTAATGAATTGTTGAACCCAGCAGAGAACTAGACAGTGCTGTAGGAAGGATGGCTGATGTCGGAATTGATAAAAGGCTAGACAAGAGGTATGTCTGACCACCACCTTGTAGGAATCAGCGTTGGATTGATCATGATAATGATTCTCTCTCCCCTTCATGAAGTTAGAGGAGGTCAGATGTCTCCACCATGCCAGAATGATCCATGTGGCAATATCAGAGTTCAAGACATCACATGAACTCTTATTTAGCTTAATATAAAGAGGGCTACATATAAAAGGGCTACATATATAAAGGAGTCCTGGTGTGGCACTGCAGGATAATGCCCTATAGGACAATACCTGGTAGTTCAAACCCTCCAGCTGCTCCTCGAAAACTCTAAACAGGGTTGCTAAGAGTCGGGACCAATTCAATGGTACTTAGCAACAACAATAACAACATATAAAAGGACTCCTGGTGTGGCACTGTAGGATCAGCAATGGACTGTGAACTACAAAGTTGGTGGCTCAAATCCACCTGCCACTCCCAAGAAACCCTACACTGGATCTCTATGAGTCAGAACTGACGCAATGGTACTTAACAACAACAGCATGTAAAAATATGTATAGATATGTGTACATACATGGGTTAAAATGCACACGTATATCCTTTCTCTGTCAGCTGAGAGGGTCTATAAGCAACTGGTATCTCAACCGCAATAAGCATAGGCAGCACCTATATCTTGGTATCTAGCAAGACTCACCACTAAAAGCAACCAGGACTCCTTAGAGAAATGGCTAATGGCTGATCCTAGTTATGGTGCAAGCGCCAACTGTAATAACTACCAACAGCCAAAGCTGGGACAATTTGAGCAACATAAAAAGTAGCATTTACAACCCAAAATGTAAAATCAATACCATGAATCCATATGGATACAAATAAGTAAATCATTGGATAAATAAATGAAGGCTAATAGAGTAACCTCCCATGCAGAAGAATTGCAAATAATTTACATAGATTGGCAGACGCCATCCTGCCAAGGGACAGAACAGCGAGAAGCCTTACACATGAAAAGTTCATTGTTTAGCAAAGCGATGATGAATGTCCCCTTGGTTGGCAAAGCCACAAGGGGTATTTCATGCAGGGCCCCGCAGTTTCTAGCTTTTCCTTGGAAAAATAGTTTATTTCTGATTTCCTTTTAAGAAGTTTTAGAAAATCTTGCATAATCACTGGATACTTCTTAGTAGTAACAAAATATAAAATATATTTTAAACAAACCTCAAGTTATAATAGCTGCCTTTCACATTAACATTAACTTTCACACCATATTCAATCTTATGTAGTTATAAAAGTTGTTTTTTACATTAACAATAAGTTTTAACATTAGACATAACCACACTGGCTAGGGTTTTAGCAATTCAAGCTTGGGATTGTGAGAAACATTCCATGTGGTTTTAGTCAAGGACATTAAGGCCTTTAGAAAGCTGTTTTGAGACAGTCAAGGGCGGCGGGAGCTTAAGAACAGAAGTAAAAATTTGATTAGAGGTTTTGAGAAATTGTTAGTATAAGAGAATTGCTGCTTTGTTCTTAACTATGAAATTTTAGGGTACTTTTACGTTCTTGCTTTAATTGTTAAATCAATTATATGTATGACCAGTTATAGTAAAAATTACATTTTTGATTGTGAGTTGTAATTAATGAATCTATAGAAAGTAATAAATGTTGGTAAAGTTAGAAGTTAAGATGTAGAACTTTGTTTAAAATTAACCTGACATTTAAAGAGGATTAGAGAAAAACAAATCAAGGCCAAACTAGACCTTTTAGGGAGGATTAGAGAGAAACAGAGTCGCTCAAAGAAGGCAGTCATTATCAGAGTGGCTAGGGAGTGTAGAGATGCAGGAATGTTTGATGACCTTGTGTTCCTCTTGTACCTTTGATGTAAGAATATAATATTTGATTGATTTGTAACTGCTTGTATGTGACTATTTTGAGATCATAGTATATTCTAAATGGGATATAAGAAGCAAAAATTTTTTAAGTAAAGAGAGTCATCATTACCATCATCTGCCTGAGACTCAAAATGACCCATTGAGTCCATATAACTCATTCCGCCGACTCCACATCCTCCCTCGAGAGCCTCCTAATAATTTGTTGAGGCTGGTCCCCGGCAATAGATCCTTTGCCATTGAATCAATTCTGACTCATAGTGACGCTACAGCACAGAGCAGAATTGCCCTATAGCGTTTCCAAGGCTGTTCTGGTGCGGCGCTGTAGGATAATGTACTGGATCACAAGGTTGGTTTGAACCGCAAGGTTCAAAGCCTCTCCTCAGAAACCCTACACAGAGTCACTATGAATCAGAAACAACTCAACAGCATTTAACAACAACAAACCTTTACCAAAGCAGACTGCCACATCTTTCCCACGCAAAACAGCTGGTGAGTTTGAACTGCCAACCTGTCTATTAGGAGATAACCACTTAACCACTGCACCACCAGGGTTCCTTAGTTTATGTAGATAATCCACATTTAAGGAGGTAGAGCACAACTCTATTCCGTGTAAGTGTGTGCTACATACAATAACTGTCTTCCAAAGAGTTGCAGTATGGAAAGGGAAAAACTGTACAGTGGAGACGGCTGACCAACCAGTCAGGCTACGGTCAGGTAATAAGATAAGCATCAGCAGTAATAAGTCACATGAATAGTATGAATCTGTAGTATGATTATGATGGAAAGACAATGGCACTTTATCTAGGTGGTCTCCCTCCGGTAAACACATTACTCCAGACTGGTGCTGGTGATGTGCCATTGAGTTGGTTCCAAATCATAGCAACCCTGTATAGGACTTCCAAAGCTATAAATCTTTACAGGAGCCAAAGGCCACATCTTTCTCCTGAGGAGCAACTGGTAGATTCAAACTGCTGACCTTGCGGTTAGCAGCCCAGTTCATAACCCACAATGCTAGCAGGGTTTCTTTACCCCAGACTAACCAGGAGAAAACATCAGACAAAGCCTCAGATGCAGACTGTCCCTCAGTTGGGTTAAGGTCAGCACATAAATTTGAGAAACCATTGTAACCCAGAGGACCCTAAGGAGACACAAGGACTGAAGGCAATGTGGTATCCCAGAATGGAATTATGGAACAAAAAAAAGGGCATCAGGAAATCTGAATAACATACGCTGTTATTAGATGCCATCAGGCCACTTTTCAACTTATGGTGACCCCATGGGACAAGATAGAATTGCTCCATAGGGTTTTTCTAGGCTGAAGTGGTGTACGGGTTATGAGTCGGGCTGCTAATCTCAAGCTCAGCAGTTTAAAACTACCAGCTGTTCTGCAGGAGAAAGATGAGGCTTTCTGCTCCCATAAAGCCTTACGGCCTCAGAAACCCTATATAGGGTCACTGTGAGTCACAATTGACTCCATGGCACATAATCACCACCACAAATTTTTTCTGAGAAGGAGCCCAAGGTAGCGTAGTGGGTTTCAAGTTGAGCTGCTACCCAGTCAGCAGTATGAATCGACCAGTCACTGCCACAGGGGAAAGATGACGTTTTCTGCTTCTGTAAAGATTTACAGCCTCGAAGACCCTACACAGGATCATTATGAGTTGGAACCAACTTGATGGCATAAACAACCACCACCACTACCAATCTTTTTAAGAGGAAGACCCTCAACAAGATGGACTGACACAGTGGCTGCAACAGTGGGCTCAGTCACAACAACAACTGTGAGGATGGCACAGGACTGAGCAGTGTTTTGTTCTGTTGTACACAGTCACAACAGCATCTAATAACTAATAACAATCTTTACAGTAACAGAATGCCAGCTCTTTCTCCCATAGAAGCAAAGACATTTGGGCAGCTTGCAAAACCACCAATCTCTTGATTAAGCAGCTGAGTGCTTAACCCTTGCAACATCAAGACTCCTTTGAATAAATTATGGACTTATTTTACATTGATAATAATGTATCAAATACTGGCTAATGGTAACAAACATATCAAATGATAGGAAACGCTAGAAATAGTGAAAATTGGGTGTAGGAGGTACAGAAACCCTCTCTGCACTGTCTTCACAATAATTCTGTAAACCGAAAACTGTTCCATAATATACAGTTACTAACGAAGTATCACTGGGAAGGCTTCTAGATGTGCTCCATGCTTGCAATGAACAAAAAGCCAAATGCAGTTAAGACTTAGTCCATAAGCATGAGATTAAATCTATTAACTTCTTCCATAAGCCCATTTTTTCCATGAAATTTTTGAAGCCCCCTTGTATGTACACATTGCTATTGTCATTAAGTGCCGAGTCAGTTCCATCTCATAGTGACCTTATGTAGGGTTTCTGAGGAGCGGCTGATGAATTTGAATCACCCGCCTTTCAGTTCAAACTGACCTTGGGGACAAATGCATCATCCTTAGGGGCAAGTGCAGTGCCACACCAGGTCTCCGTATATTCACATACATACATATGTACTTATGTGTATATACCAATATTAATAAACATAAAACATTATGTTTACATTTCTTTCTTTACACATTATTGATACACCATAAAAATTTTTTTTGTTGTTATTCATTGTTGACAAATGACAATCCATGATACATATTGGTGGTGGTGGTTATGTGCTGTGGAGTCAGTTCCAACTCCTAGCAACCCTGCAAAGGGTTTCCGAGGCTGTAAATCTTTACGAGAGCAGAAAGCCTCATCGTTCTCCCTCAGAACAGCTGGTAGTTTTGAACTCCTGACCATAAGGTTAGCAGCCCAACTCATAACCACTATGCTACCAGAGCTCCTTATGATATATATTATAACCTGCTTTTTCCTTTCAATAAAAAAAAATTATCAGGCGTTGTTGTCAAGTATCTATCATGAAGTTGGTTCCAATTTATAGCAATCCTGTGAAGGGTTTCCGAAGCTATAAATCTTTCCTGGATCAGAAAGGCTTATCTTTTTCCCTAAGCGGCTGGTGGGTTCGAACCTCCAACCTTGTGGTTCGCAGTCCAGTGCTTATCCTACAGAACTACCGTGCTGTCAAAATACTGGAGAGACTGTCCAATACAAGAACAAAGAATATATTTCATGTCTCTTACTATTTTCACAATGTTCTGTTTTGTTATGGTTGTTAAATGTCGTTGAGTCAGTTCCAACTCATAGCAACCCTGTGTGGGGTTTCCAATTAGTATACCTTCCAATTTCTGGGAAATTAGGGCTAATATGAAGAAAACTGATCATGGATATAAAAAAAATGTCAAGTGTTGGAGGAAACAAACCCAGTATCAGCAAGTTAAAAGAATTATAACTTACAAAATTTAAACAACTGCATAGTTGAGTATTATTTAATCTATATATTACAGCTGCCCTAATAGATTGAATTTAAAGAGCAGAGTAAAAACGAGACAAGTTAGGTATCTTGTTTAACTATGTATATCTGGAATTATAATACATGAATGTAGATAAATCAGAAACCAGGAACAATGCTAATGAAACATTAACTATGGATTACTGTTGAACAATGACTTGCCTGCTCCCCCACTGTATCTGATGACAAGTCCACTTTCAAAGACTATTTAGAACAGGGCTAGTGTACTTTTTCTCAGTTCTGTACATTGTTTCTTTCTCACTTCCTCTACTTTTACATCAATAGGCTGCTTTAGGGAAACAATCTTTTCAAAAACACAGGGACCAACTTATTTCAATACTCAAAAAATATAATGCTAGCCACAAACTAATGTGCACAACAAAATAGCACTGTAATGTCTTCAGGTAAACCTTTAGGATCCTAACAATAAGTGTTGTCTTAGTAAATGCAGTCTTTTTACCAAGATAAAATGGCCAAAGACATTGGTTGCAAACACCTCCTGAAGCCCATCAGCGGTGACTTTGTCTTGCTGGGTCAGCAGTCCTTCAGCTGTGGAGAACACATGAATCACGTTTCTGAAAGAGCAGAGGACAACTGAATGACATTTTTTAAAGCTGTTTTAACTGAATATACTGAAAGATACCAAAGGAAAACATTACATGTTCCTTGATTCTCTAATTACAAGACTGATATACAGCCAATCTTCATTATTCCCAAACTTTGTACCTGCCTATTTGGCTACTTGTTAAAATTAACTTGTAACCCCCAAATCGGTACTTGGGGTATTTCCACAGGCATGAGTTAAGTGCAGAGCATCACAGGTCTTAGTCAATAGCGGGCATATTCCCAGCCGAGGTCAAATAAGGCTAGTGTGGTATTTGCCAATCTGCGTTCACAGGGCCTTTATAGAACATAGCTACCACAAGTAACAGTAATTTATTTCTCAGACTGGGTGGTTGTGAATATTCCATATGAGCTATTGTGCCCCATATAGTGCTTAAATGTAGTATGAAATGCTTTATTTCCCCCTCCACTACACACCATTAACAGAAACCCGAGTCTCTCAAAAATCTCTTATCCCTCTCTCCTAATCAATTTACAGGTATTTTTCGGAGGGAATAAAAGCTATGCCAAGGAGAAAAAGTCTTCCCCTAAACAGATGTTTAGCTGTTGAACAAAATTAAACATTTCTTTTATTACTGGGATTTCTTGAAGCATCAAAACGTACTAATATTTTGCTGTAGATCAACTAGGTAGTTTTAGAACACTGGGTTCTTTCTGTTTTGGGTCACTAGAAGACAAGCAAAGTGAAAGTAGTGGTGTAGTATATAGCATGCAATAGGAGTTGGACTATCTGTTGATGAGCAACTATACTGGATTGGAAAATAAAATTCATTTCTTAGCAAGGGTTGTGGTTACCACTTTGGAAAGCCATTACATTAATGTATACTGAGAATCTCCCAGGAAACTATTTAGTCCTCGGTTATTTCTCCAGCCTACTGATCAGAGCACTTGGCATACAATTGGGAAATGTTGCCTAAAGTAACTTTCTGGGTATTGGGGTATCACTATGAACTCCGTCCTAAATTTGAAATGTTCTTGCTAATGGACACATTCAGACAATCCGATACCTGACCTTCTGAAATACCCATCCACTTGGGGTGTGTCCCAGAGACCCAGAACAACTCATGACTTGGAGAGTTCCCCACAAAAGATGCTTGTCTCCTATAACATGACAGCAAATCTCCTTCCTATGACTTTATCCTTCTCAACATGCTCACTTTTCATTGTCCAAACTGAATGTTATTGCTGTTAAGCGCCAATGAGTCAGTTCCAACTCACAGCAACCCTGTTCAGGGTTTCCAAGAAGTGGCTGGTGAATCTGAAGCACTGACCCTGCAATTAGCAGCTCAGTGCTTATCTGAGAAGGCCATGCCAAGACCAAGGACAAAACTAGCAAGAAAATCAAAGACCTCGCCTCCAGTCAGTTCAGCTAAAAATTAGAAGTTACCTTGAGAAGATGCTAGACAAAAGTGCTCTGATATTCAGCTGTGGGTTAGGCATGATTCCAGCATTGAAATACACATAGTCTAATCTTTGAAACCTGCAAGAAAAACACCAAGATAAGGTTGTAAGTGCTTCTACTACTACTAGAACAAAGGTGACCTAGGTCTTCTCTGGTTAATATTCTTCCAGTTCTGCCCTTCAGATTAGGTACAATGACAATTCTGTCTATTAAGCCCACTCTCTGGTTTTAGCAAAGTTTTTTGTTGTTGTCATTTGTTTCCTTTTACTTCATGTCCTCCCCTAGTTGAAAACAGTTTGTGTATTATTGGCATTCATCTGCTCTTACCTTTTAATGCTGAAACATCAAGAAATCTAGTAAAGCAAGAAATCTACCTGGAAACCATCCGTACTACCTGGAAACCATCCGTACTCCTAGGCAGGTGCTGTCTATCACAATGATAAAAACTCACATGCACACAATAAGGTTCAAAAGGTGCATCTCATTACCAAGGTACTCTCTGTAAGCTTTCTTTAGGCCACTTGTCAGGAGGCGAATTGTGAACCGCTGACATGAGTGGGCTTTTTCCATTTTAAATCTGTTGTTGTCCTTGAGGTGATGTAGAATCCATTCAGACTCAGCAACCCCATACACAAAAGGAAATATCACCTGATCTTGAGTCATCCTCAAGTGTGAGGACACACTGAGCTGCTGGCCAAAACGTAGGAGGTTTGAGGTCACCCAGAGGCATCTTAAGAGAAAGGCTTGGTTACTTCCAGTATGTCTAGGAAAAGTGGGAGCCATCGAAAATGTAATGGAACGCGTAAAGATCAATATCCTAGGCATCAGTGAGCTGAAATGGGCAGGTATTAGTCATTTCAAATCATACACTCGTACGATTTAATATGCTTGTTGTTGTTAAGTACCTTGAAGCCAATTCTGACTTATAACAACCCTGTATAGGGTTTCCAAGGAGCAGCTGCTGGGTTTGAACCACTGACTTTGTGGTTAGTAGTCCAGTGCTTATCCTACAATTGTTGTGTTGTTAAGTGCCATCGAGTCAGTTCTGACCCACAGTGACCCTCTATAGGTTAACCTCCAACCCTGCAGTTCAAACTAACTTTGCAGTTAGGCACATGAACCCACAGTGCCACACGTGAACTCCTACAACGCAACAGGGAAAATTCAAGAGAAATAATATCACATAAATTGTCAAAAAGAACAATTCAAGATCTATCTTGAAGTACAATGATTTTAAACTTACATAAGCCTCAGTCTATGTGCATGCTTTTAATAGGGTCAAGGCAGGAGAAGCCTATTGCCATGATACTCTCAGACACCATGAATATCCAGAATATCTCCTAGGATTTTATGTACCACACGGGTCTTTGTGTTTGTTCACCTAGGATAATAAGGGCAATAGTGACCAATCATGGATCTTAAAATACATATAAAGCTACATACAAAACTTGTGATGATGGCCCAGGCCCAGGCAGTGGTTTGTTCTGTTGTATACTGGGTCACTGTGAGTCAGACCCAACTCCATAGCACCTAAACAACAACAACAGGGAATGTGGAACATATCAGAGTTTATATAAAACTGGAACCTAGAAAATCATGTGAGTGTTTTAGAAAGATGATTTGGCAGAAAACTCTAGGAAAAATCAGGAGTAGAGACCGAAACCACATTCCCAAAGGACTATGGTCATAACAAGAGGAGTCAGGTGAAAAAAGCTAGCTTTTACCTTTGCTTTATAGCTTGTTCATCTGGAGCAGGGAGAGGCAAATTAATGTATCTGTTGACATAAATAAAATGCAGATACAAAGTATTCTTCAGACAATGCCTTTAGCATGACACAAGGTCTTACTTGTTTCTGCTGTTTCATTTTACTCTCCATGGAAATAAAGTAGCTCCTTGTTTCTCAATGGCCCCTGTTACGAAAATCCTTGAACATTAATTATTCCAGAGAGTCCTAAGGCCCAACATAGATTAGTACAGAGTACTCCACTTTTCCTGATCATAAATTCTTCTGAGAATTTAAAATAATATGTTCTCTCTCGCCAGAAAAAGATGCATTGTGCCTCTATGTGCAATTCTGTGTACATTTTCAGGGTGTTGATACATCCAAAAATTCCATTCTTTCAAACAAGTATTTATCAAACGCCTATTATATGCCTAGGGTCTAGGAACAATCCAATCAATATAAACTCAAATGGCTTTCTTAAACAAATTTTTTATCTCAGTCTCAGTTTCTTCATTTGATGAATGTCAGCACCTGTCACACCTCCTTCATGAAGTTGTTCTACAAAGGAAAGATATTCAAGCTTCATTGAGATATCCCAGGAAATTACATTAGTGTCACATGAGGGTATAATCATAAATACTAAAGAAATCTGAGAAATAAGCATGCTCGTGATCGAGAAGGTGGCACAGAGAAGTAATGGGTTTCCTCTATAGTTTTCCTCAGCATAACTTCCTACCCTGTGACTATTCTTTTCAGAATTTCCTACCCTTTGTTATTTTATTAAATGTTATGTTGCACAATCCCATGAAATAAAACCCACCAACAAGAGGCATACCTTTGCTTGAGCTCCCTGGAGGCCCGGAACACTGACTGCAGGTTGCTAACATCCACCTGCACAATGCTGACCTCGACTGTGGGCTGAGAGGCCAGCAGATCAGCCCGGACAGCTTCTGCTTTGCCCATGTTCCTGCATGCCAAGCACAGGTGAAGCTCATCGTCTTCCTCCAGCAGACGCTTGCAGAGAGCTAAGCCGATGCCACTGAAAAGGACAATTCAATCACAGGATACACATGATATGGGATGGTGTGAGGTAGAAGCATTTCTCTCTGGTTCAGAAAACTAATCTGCCACTTTTAGTTCTGATCAAGAACTCAACCGGACAGAAAAGCTCAAAAGTTATTTAAGGTAGGGGAGGACACCCACACTCTAGCCACTTGCTCAGGACACTGTCCAGTTTGTGTTTCTCCCATTCTGCAAAAGTTCAGTGGCACAATAACTGGATTGCTAATGAAAGCTGTCCTTTACAATTTCTATTAATATAGAGTTTATCTTATGTCTGGTTTTCATTTTGTACTTATGTGGAGCTATAGGATAATACATTGGACCACAAGGTCATTTGAACCACAAGGTAGGCAGTTCAAACTCACCAGCCACTTCTCGGAAGTCCTATACAGTGGCCATGATGCCAAAAGGTGAAAGATTCCTTGCCTTTGATGAACTTAGATAGCAAAGTAGAACATGCAGATGATTTGCTATGAATCAGAACCGACTCGATGGTACTTCACAACAACAACATACCACTCATGAAAGTGATTCAATACCATCACCAGAAAGTGCTGAACATCTTACTAGCTGTTCACCATCTGCATGTTCTACTTTGCTATCTAAGTTCATCAAAGGCAAGGAATCTTTCACCTTTTGGCATCATGGCCACTGTCAGAAGCACCAGAAATCCTTGATAAGGGAACAGATGAATCTTTCAGGAAGAGACATCAGTAACATGGCAGGAGGTACAAGTTCCTCTCAACACTGTGATCAAGTATCCAATAAGATGAGAAAGAACTCTACTTGATTCTAAGTAAGAGGTAGGGACAGAATACTCGTATAATATGAGACAAGGACACGCACACACAGAGGGATGAGTACACCACTCAAAGATAAAAAACTACTAAGAAAGGATGATGAAACTGCACAGTAATTCAGGTCAAACTCATTTGGCTGACAGCAATGAATATGCCTGGGCAAGATGTTCTCTTCCAAGACTGAAGCTGATAAAGACAGACAGAATCCTTAAATAACATAGCACTATCATCTCTGGTAGCATAGTGGTTACGAATTGGGCTGCGAACCTCAAGGTCAGCAGTTCGAAACTACCAGCTGCTCCGCGGGAGGAAGATGAGGCGTTCTGCTCCCATTGAGATTAACACCCTCGGAAACCCTGTGCAGGGTCACTATGAGTCGGAAGTGACTCCACAGCACGTAACAACAACATCAGTAATCCAAACATTAGTATTGATCAAGCGACTCCTGTTACCACCTCCAGGGGGGGAGTTCCCCTCACATGGATGATGGCAAAGAGCGTATTAATACCTGCCATAAGGAGGCTGAGCAGCTCTAGGACATCAACCCACTCCACAGTTTGCAGGGGTCAGGGTCTCCAAGAAAGACATATATCACATCATTCCAAATGGAATAATGCTTTACTCCTATAGAGAAGGAGCAGAATGAAATCAGCTTCAATAGTGGGCACTGGCCCCAACTGGCCACCAGGTCTCACTATGCAGCCAGCAGACAGAAACGGCCTGCATGCATGCACCCCTCTTGTGTTACAGGCTGACTCCATTCCCTCTCAGCTCGGAATACATGTAACAGTGGGGTTGGCCAGGTGCCTTATACCTCACACACTTAGCTAAGCAGTTCCTGAAAATGTTTACATGTACTCAGGACAACTACTTGCCCCATAAAGGGAGTCAGCACATATTCACATCCCATCGAAGAAAACCAGGCCAAGGTCCTAAGTACAAGGTCCGTTTGTAGGTCACAGAGGAAAGCAGCAAGCTGTATGTGTTCAGACTGCCCCTTTCACATCTATGCTGTCAGCTCTGCCAACAGAACACACAAATGGGTACATTTTATTCATCCTTTCTTGAGAATAGTAGGCCTTTGACATAAATATATAACTGGACACATCATAGTATATAGTAAAGAAACACACACAAAAGCTTATCTGTCTACAGTACCTATTTGACCTAGCTTAGATGGCTTGATGATCAGAACTCCACTAGAGGAAGATAAAGAAGTTTGTTAAAGGAAGCAAGTGTAAATTGCTACGATTTGATGAACTTGACCTTTACTTATGGATGTAGTAATTCAAAATACCAACCAAGAGGGAAGGAGTCTACACATCAAGGATCAAGCTTATCCCCTAAGTACACAGGATTGACAGGGACAGGCAACTTAAACATTGACTACCTAAAACTGGGTCGGGGGACGCTATAAAGACACGAAGCAGCTAGCTTCCAAATTTTCAAAACGGAGTTTAGTTTCAGAGAGTGTGGGGGAAGGTAGAATCCCCACTGAATAGTTTTCATCTTGCCTAAATGGGTCTGGTAAAAAGAGATGGGCAGAGGATTCTTTTGATTCAATAGTGAATAACTGTTACCATGACTAACTGCGATTGTCACAACTGTAAAGGTAGAAGTTGTATAACAAAATGTGGGTAGGGAAGCATTCCAGGAACAGAGGACCCTAAGGCCATTAAGGGAGAAGAGTATGAGCTTAATGTGGGATCCTGACCAGAGAAGCAGCAACACCAGAGATGGAGGCAGAGATAATGACATGGAGAGATAGAGCAGCTGAGGACTCTAGACTCATGGAAAGAGAAAGGCTATGTGCTGGCAGGCAAGAGGCAGGCTTGCAGAATGTGCCCTTTGGTTGGTTAAATGATTATATATCCTGTGGGGCTTTTTGTGTACATTAAAAAAAAAAAAAGAAGGAATAGAGGCAAATAATGTTAACCGAAGGTGCATAGAGTCAATTGTAATTGTTGCAAAGAATTCAGAATAAAAGCTTTGAAAAAAAGTAATTAGACATAAATAAGAGGGGAAATGAAAAAGCTTATCTGCCTATTAAAGCACCTACAACATAGGAAACTCCACCACATGAGTTGTTAAGGTTGCTCAGGAAAGAACACACTCAAAACACCACCACTGCAGACACCTACCAAGCTGGCTTAGTTAATACACGGGGACTTCAAAGAGTTCATGGAGAATTTTTGTTATCTTTTAATTCCATGTTTCCACAAAGTTTTTGAAGGTTCCTTGTATAGACTTGGTTAAAGCAGAAGACAAGCCTGGCAATCGCCTTCCGAAAGGCCACAACTTTGAAAAACCTACAGAGCAGTTTTACTCTGCACATATGGGGTCTCCATAAGTCAGAGGCAACTCCCTGGGCAACTAACAACAAATGAAAGTGATTATTAACACCTCCTCTGTCTTAACTTCTCAAAAAGGTCATATGTAACTTAAAATCGGTTGTCCAGTTTCATCCGCCCCCACATTTTTCATGGAAGTGGTAAATGAGATGTAAAACAAACAAAAGAGGTTTAAGTGTTGTCAAAATAATGAATCCTGGAAAAATTATGAGCTGGCAATGAGCTGGTTGCAACCCCAACTATGCCTTAACAGGAAGTTACTTTTCTCTGGGTTTCTTAACAGTATATGCTAGGTGTCTGTCTAGCATTGGCTAGGTGCAAATGAAATATACTTTTCTACCCCCACACCTCACCTTACTCTAAACCAAAACCCGAAGTCGTGGAGTCAATTCTACTTATAGCGATGCTATGCTAGCGACCCTGTATAGGGTTTCCAAGAAGCAGCTGGTCGATTTGAACTGCCGATCTTGCAGTTTATATAGGGTCGCCATATAAGGTTTCCAAAACTGCAAACCTTTACGGGAGCAGACAGCCTCATCTTTCTTTTGCGGAGGGGCTGGTGGGTTTGAACCTCTAGCCTTATGATTAGTAGTCCAACTATATGGTTCTGTTATTGTTAAGTGCCACGGATTCGGTTCTTACTCACAGTATAGGGTTTCTGAGGAGCGGTAGGTGGGTTTGAACTGCCGACCTTGCAGATAGCAGTTCAGTGCATATACTACAATGTCACATCAGGACTGTTCGGAATGCTGAAATTTGACTCGCGGCAAGAATTCAACAGAAAATACCTGGAAACTGAGACATGATCCCAAAGGTCTGGACTGAACTGAGAGCCCTAAAGGCAATTAAGGGTTGAAGGAGGGATGGAGGTGAGATCCTCTAGCAAGTTCCCCTTTGCCTGATAACCAAAGTCCATCGCCACGACTTCCAGCACTTGCTGGCGCCCCAGTTTTTCTTTCTATTGTCATGTTTAATTCAAAGCGCCTCAAGTTACTGAGCACCTTCAGGGGCCGCCACAGGCCCCAGAAAACTGCGGCAAAGGGTCGAAATCGAGACCCCACTGGGAGAAGCCCGGGGACGGGTGCTCCCGGAGTGCTATCCAGGAAGGGTCGCCCAGGCCTGTACCTCTGGTTCCCTGGGATCCTTGAGCCATCCCGGCTCCGCGATCAAGTGGGAGAACTCACCTGCTCGCCCCGGTGACCAAAACCACCTTACGCATTGTCACACACTCAAACTCAAAACAGCAAAGCAGAAAGCACCCCCGATTTCCTGAAACTCTAAAAGCCGCGCAACCAGTCCAGCCCACCCTCGTACGCTCAATGTTCCATCCCAGGCCCACACAGGACCCGTCGCCTCCACCCCCCGAGCCCCGCCCTCCAAGCGCAGTCGGCCATACGCACGCCGAGCCCCGCCCAAGCGTGAGTGGACTGAGATAGTCCGAGGGGCGGAGCCGTGTGACGACACAGAGGCTCTAGCCAATCTCGACTTCCCTTTCCATGCGGGAGCGCCACTGTCTCACCCCGGCGTGCCTTGCTCTGCCTGCACTGGTGTTGGTCTGGGTGGGTCTGAGTGGTCAATAATCCGTGGAACGCATGTGTTCGCTACCCTGGCGACTTTTGGTGGCGCTTATTGCAGGAAGGCCACTGAATATTTACACCGAAACTAGATATTTCAGGGAAAAGTTTTGGCTTTATTGGGATTATCTAGTGAATTTCCCCTCCTTTTTGGATGTGTAGATTTTCTTCCTCTAAAGAATCTTCTATGGGCAGATGTACATTGATTTTATTTAGTATTGTAGGGGGAATCATACCTAAATTACCAGTATTGAAATTTTAGAATACAGCATGGGATCAGAGCGTTTGAAAATTTCATATGGCACTATGACACATCTCAAGCTATGCTGAATGACTGGTTTCATTTTTCCAGTCTGTCCCAGATAGATAGTGTGCTTTGGGGAAATGCAGTAAAAAACTGATTTTTTTTTTAGAACAGTATGCATAAAGCAAAAGATACATACATGCATACAAACCCTGTTTTTTATTATTAAACCGAACACACCCACTTTGATTAACATTGTATATAGGTCATACACCGAAATATTGAATGTACTTGAATCCACTTCATGATTTCTCATAGTTTTCATGCTTTATAAACAGCCATGATCCCTGAAAGATTGTTGTTTCATACTGTCAAGTAGGTTCCAATTCTGCACAACAGAGCAGAACACTGCCTGGTCCTGTGCCATCCTCACAATTGTTATGCTTGAGTCCATTGCTGCTGCCACTATGCCAATCCATCAAGTTGTGGGTCTTCCTCTTTTTCGCTGACCCTCTATTTTATCAAGCGTAACGTCCTTCTCCCATGGGAGAAAGATGGGGCTTTCTGCTCCTGTGAAGATTTAAAGCCTCGGAAACCCTATAAAGGGTCAGTATGAATCAGGACACACTCGAAGGCACATAATAACAACAACAAAGTTCTTCTCCAGTGACTGGTCCCTTCTGGCAAGATGCCCAAAGTATGAGAAACAAAGTTTGGCTATCCTGACTGCTAAGGAGCATTCTGACTGTGCTTCTAAGAACACAGATTTGTTTGTTCTTCTGGCAGTCCATGGTGCTTTTAATATTCTTTCCAATGCCATGACTGTAGTGTATCAATTCTTCTATGGTGTTCCTTATTCGCTATACAACTTTCACATACGTATGTTGTTGTTACTGTTAAGTACCGTGGAGTCGGTTCGGACTTACAGCGACCCTGCACAGGGTTTTCGAGGCTGTAAATCTTTACGGAAGCAAAATGCCTCATCTTTCTCCCACGGAACCGCTGGTAGTTTCCAACTGCTGACCTTATGAGGTGATCGAAAATACCATAGCTTGGGTCAGGTGCACCTTAGTCTTCTAATATCTTTGCTCTTTAAAAACTTTAAAGAGATCTTATGCAGCAAATTTGTCTAATGCAATATGTCTTTTGATTTCTTGACTGCTGCTTCCATGAGTGCTGATGGTAGATCCAAGCAAAATGAAGTCTGTGATAACTTAAATCTTTTCTCCATTTATCATGATGTTATTTATTGGTCCAGTGGTGAGGATTTTTGTTTTCTTTGCTTTAAGGTGCAACCCATACTATACCAAGAGCCGTCCATGATCTTTGATCTTCACCAGTAAGTATTTTAAGTCCTCTCCACTTTTAGCAAGCAAATTTGTTTAATCTGCATACCTGACGCATTATTCTTCATGTAATCCAGTTTCTCAAATTATTAGCTCAGCATACAGATTGAATAAATATAGTGAAAGAATGGAGTCCTGACGCATACCTTTCCTGATTTTAAACCATACAGTATCACCTTATTCTATTCAAATGACTCTTGGCCTATGTACAGATTTATTATGAGCACAATTAAGTGTGCTGAAATACCTATTCTTCCAAATGTTAGCCATTGCTTGTTATGATCCACACAGTCAAAAGCCTTTGCATCTCAAACACAAGTAAACAACTTTCTGGTAGTCTCTGCTTTCCACCAAGGTCCATGTGACAACAATAATATCCCTAGTTCCATGTCCTCTTCTGGATCTGGCTTAAATTGCTGTCAGTGTACTGTTGACTCTGTTTGTAAATTATCTTCAGCAAAATTTTACTTGCATGTGATAGTAATGATATTGTTCAATGATTTCTGCATTCTGTTCGGTCATTTTTCTTTGGCATAGGCACAGATTTGGATTTCTTCCAATTAGTTGGCCGGGTTAATGGTCTTCTAAATTTCTTGGCATAGATGAGTGAGTGTCTACAGTGCTGCATCTGTTTGTTGAAAGAGTGCAATTTATATTCTGTCGATTTCTGTAGTCTTGATTTGTCACCAGTGCCTTCAGTACAACAATACCTCTTACTTCAGTCCCATCAGATCTTTATCTATGTTACCTCTGGAAATGGTTGAACATCAACCATTTCTTTTTAGTACAGTGACTCTGTGTAAACCTTCAATCTTCTTTTGGTGTTTTCTGCATCATTCAATATCTTGTCCATAGAATCCTTCAATATTTCAAGTTGAGGCTTGAACATTTTCTTCAATTCTTTCAGCACAAGGAATGATGACTGCATTTTATTCCCTTTTGGCTTTCTAACTCCAGGTCTTTGTATCTTTCATTATACTACTTGACTTTGTCTTCTTAAGCTGCCCTTTGAATTTTTCTTTATAGCTCTTTGCTACTTCATTTCTTCCATTTGGTTTAGCATCACTACTCTGAAAAGCAAGTTTGGGAGTCTCTTCTGACACCCATTTTGTCTTTTCTTTCTTTCATGTCTTTTATATAACCTTTTGCTTTCTTTCTGTATGATGTTCTTGATGTCATCCCACAACTCTTCTGGTCTTTGCATCAAAACTGTTCTTGAGATGGTCTTTAAATTAAATTGGGATATGTTCAAGTTCATATTTTTCATTTTGTGGAAAATCTGAAGGAAAAACCCAAAACAAAAATGGAAGTATGATTGGCTACTACAAGAATAAGCAAGTTGCGGAGGGTAGAATCCCCACTGAGTGATTGTCATACTGTCTAGACAGGTCTGGTGAAAGGCGATAGGGACAAGACTCTCGTGATTCAGTAGTGAGTAATTGTTATCATGACTAATTATGATTGTCACAACTGTAAAGGTAAGTTTTGTAGCAAAGAGGGGAGAGTGATTGATCTTACAGTCCCGGAGTGGAGGACCCTGGGACCATCAAGGGAAAAGAGCAGGAATGGAGTGTGGGACCCTAACCAGACAAGCGGCAATGCCAGAGATGGAAGCAGAGATGATGACATGGAGAGACTGAGCAGCTGAGGGAATACAAGCAAATACTGTTGAGTGATGAAGCATGCAGGATATTATAATCATTGCAATGAAACGAATATGATTGTAATCATTGAAATGAAATGAATACAATAGGATGAGTATAAAACTGATGTTCCCCCATGTAAACTATCACTTATTTCACAATAAAAATCCTGGAGAAGCACATCCTTGTTAAAATGGAGGGCCATTGAAAATGAGGAACATCCCCAATGAGATGATTAACACAGTAACTGCAACAAGGAGCTGAAACATAACAATTGTGAGAATAGCACAGAACAGGGCAGTGTTTTGGTCTGTTGCACATACGGTCGCTATGAGCTGGAAACAACTATACAATACTTAACAATAAAAACAGTTTACTCCGATTTTTTTCTTTCATGATATTATACTTTAAATTTTTACATTTAGGTCTTTGATCCATCATGAGTTTGTTTTTGTATATGGTGTGAGGTATGGATCCTGTTTCATTTTTGTGCAAATGGATGTTCAGTTTTGCCAGCACCATTTGTTAAAGAGAATATCTCTTCAGATGTAATGGACTTTGGTGCTTTCTCAAAAGTCAGCTCTCCATATGTCAATGAATTTACTTAGGGGTTCTTAGTTGTTTTACACTGGTCTATGTGTCTGGCATTATACCAATATCCTTGTTTTTGTCATTGTAACGTGGCATTGAGTTAATTCCAACTCATAATGACCCTCTATAGGGTTTCCAAGGAGCAACTGGGGAGTTTGAATCACCAACCTTGTGATTCAAATTGACCTTGTGGTCCAGTGCTTATCCTACAGTGCCATGCTAGAATTCCATACAAGGCCTGCTTTAACTACTTTGATTATATAGCAGGTTTTGAAATCAAGAAGCATGAAGCATCCTACTTTGTTATTTTCCCATTATGCTTATAATCCATATAAGTTGGCAATAACTTTTTCCATCTTGTTAAAGACTGATGATGGAATCAGAATTGAGATTTCATAGTATCTGTAGATCCCAGACAGCAAAGCCATTTGAACTGCAAGGTCGGTGGTTCAAGCTCACCAGCTTTTCCTCAGAAACCCTATACAGGGTCGCTATGGGTCAGAAATTTGGAAGACAACTATCTGGCCGATTGATTGGAAGAGATCCATATTTTTGCCCATTCCAAAGAGAGGTGACCCAACGGAATGCGGAAATCATCGGACAATCTCTTTGATAATCTCAAGCAAGTAAAGTTTTGCTAAAGGTAGTACAGAAACAGCTACAATCATACATTGACAGAGAACTTCCAGAGGTTCAAGCTGGATTCAGAAGAGGCCGTGGAACGAGGGATATCATTGCTGATGTC